TTGTTGATGTCGTTGTAGTTGTAGTTATTTTAGTCATTGTAGATAAAGCGATAATCATTACAGCAATGCTCGTACCAACAAGAATAAGACCAAATAAAGTGAGAAATAAACAGACCGGTGAACATTGACAACAAATGGGATTAGAACAGCTACGTGGAACATTCTCAAAATATAATAAAAGAACAAATGAAAAAGATAACTTACCATTTCTTTTGTTTTCTCATCAACTTTGGGTGATGTTCATCCTCAACATTCATTCGATTTGACGATGTATCAGTGGCCTTCCTTGTATATGGAACTGATCCAACAGATGAGGGGTCAATTTTCCCAAATAATTGAAAATTTCGATTCGTGTGAGGCTAAGAGATAATAGAATTTAAGGCAGTACTAAAATGGTAATGGCTTTCTCCGAGACAATTTCAAAAAGAAACGGTCTTTCCAAGAGGAATTTGTACAAGAAAGTTCAAGAGCTTTTATTTATTGACAGTGGTGAAATATACTACTGGACGCATCTGGGAGTAATATACAATGATATACAAAAGTTTTGACGCCAGAGGTGGGATCATTCTAGGTGTATAGAACACTTCCTTAACACATTCGAGGCAGTTTAGTTTTCGTACAATAATTGATCGAGATATTCATTTTCAGGAACAGAAAACTTCTCATTAATGGACTTACTGATCTTTTCTTTCTGTTCTATCGATTTTTTACCGTTCTCTTTTTGTCGTACCATTAGATAATGAATCCAATCTCGTGTCCAACTGAATAATCGCTCAAGTTACCTTTTCGTCCTCTAATGTGCAATATACAGTACGTGCGAAATAAGTGAACGAAATTTCTAAGTTTGTCTGTAGTATTCGTGTGTCTTCAGCTCATTTGTATAAAAGAAGTCAAAATTTTTGAATAGTTTACATGTCGTTAGAAGAAACCAATACTGAAGACAGTGCTGACTCACTGAGTGAAGTGAGTTCTTTGCATTATGATTTTCGTAGAATACACTTCGAATTTGCAAGTTCCAACGAAGAAGTTACTGATGATGAGATAGATTCACACGTCTGGAGTGAAATAGAAGCAGAATCTGGTGGTGAATTTCTGGAGAATCATGGAATTGTTGTAGGAGTAACACCAACTTCCCAAGATAGTACAATCAATTCTATTGATTTCTATCGACATTTCGTCACTGACGAGATTATTAGTTTTATGATTCGCGAAACTAATCGATATACAGAACAACACTTACAAACGCATAGGCTTAGCAAACGATCAAAAAAAATCTTTAATGGGAACCAATTACCAACAAAGAAATGCTGAAATTTTTGGGGATGATCATCGAGATGAGGTTGGTGCAAATGCCAAAAGTAGACTATTACTGGAGCAAAAGTCAGTTGTATGAGTCAAAAATCATTCGAAATACAATTTCAAGAGACAAATTTGAATCATTTCTCAAGTTTTTCATATTTTGAACAATAAAGAAGAGAATGCAAGTTAAAATAGACCAGCCAAGTTGAACCCACTTTTGGCCTTATTGAGAGCTCGGTTTAAGTCGATTTATATGTCCGATTTCGTCATTACTATTGACGAAACACTGATGCCCTGGCGAGGTCAACTCTTCTTCAAGCAATACGTTCCAGGCAAATCGCATAAATATTGCGTTAAATCTACAAAGTAGCAGACATGAATGAATATACTTGAAATTTTATGATTTCTACAGGGAAACAGGATCCAATAGCTCGTCTTGGACATTCTCAAACACTCATGATGCACTTATTAGAAGATCTTTTTGGATGTTATTGAACTGCAGTAGCTGACAACTTCTGTACGAGTATTTCTCTCACAAAACGTTTGTTGCGAAATGATACTTACCACATTGGAACATTGAGAAGTAATCGCTCTGGATCCCGAAGCGCAATTGTTCAGAGAAAGCGCAAAATGGATGAAATTTATGGACTCCTGAATAACGATGGTGTTAAGTTGATGAAGTAGAAAATTAAAGAGACGTGTTGATGATATCTGCAAAGCCATCCCACTCAACAACTCTCGTGAACACCAGAAAAACTACTCCATCCAACGAGCGCAGCATGAAGCCACAAGTTAGGGTGTGGGTGTGGGTGTGGGTGTGGGTGTGGGTGTGGGGTGTGGGTGTGGGGTGTGGGTGTGGGGTGTGGGTGTGT